TTATGAGCTGGATTGAAAAGACATATGAAGTTCAAGAGAGGTACTCACTTCATTCGGAAGTCATCAGCAGTCATCTTGCTGTTATCAATGTCCAGAAGCAGCCTGTTATTGTCCACAGTGGCAGAAATGATCTGCAAAAGGGGAATTTGGAGGGGAGTCTTTCTGCCGTCAAGACATCCAGGACAAGAAGAAAGAAGACCCAGAGCTTTGGGGAGTTGTTGTGGGTCTTGGTATTGTTTCCTGCAGTAGTGCAGGGGCTCTATGAGAGGGCAACCCTCAAATATACTTTTCAAGAAAACTCAGGCTATCACAGACCCTTCTCCCAAATCCGTACTGTTTGCTTCTCCATCTCAAGTTAGAGTGGGTTCTCCATGTGTCCTGAGGAATGTATCCAGCCCTTTCCCTGCAATGTGCCTCCTCATGGCCTATTAACTCTTTTTTTTTTTGGTACCAATTTAACCTAATTGTAAGGGAGAGCCTTGGTCCTCCCATCTGGTCTGTGTAGGAGTGTGCAGAGACCAAGGAGTTCAGGTCTCACAGTCCAGGTGCTCTGGCTCAGCACCCATCCAGCTGAACTGGGTGGGAGCAGCGGGAAGGACTGGAAACCACACACGCCTGGTTTGGAGGCACCTGTAGAAGGTGGGATTTCAGATCCATGCGCCAGCGTGTGTGGGCCTGGTGGAGCACTCCCTGATGCCTCGGGCTGTGCCAGAGCCAGAGGGAAGGGGGACTTTCTTACAAGTGGGACCAGCGTTAGTCAGGGCTCTCCTACCTGATTTTGGAGTTGTTCGATGGTCTGGTAGTAGGAAGTGTAGTCCTTGGAAACGCTGGGAGCTTGTTTCCTGTACCACTCCCGGATGTGGTGCTCCAGCTGAGCATTTTCCTCCTCCAGCCGTCGCACCTTGTCCAGGTAGGTGGCCAGGCGATCATTGAGGTTCTGCATGGTGACCTTCTCATTGCCGTTCAGGAGGATGTCCCCTCCAGCACCAAAGCTTCCTGGAAAACCACCACCAAAGCCTCCACCAAAGCCACCAGCAAGGCTGCCAGCGCTCATGCCCCCTGCGTAGCCCATGCCACATGCTCCCCCGCCATAGCTTCCTCCGCCCGTCACCGAGGAGGCGTAGCGCCGGCAGGAGACGGAGGAGCTCCTGCCGCTACCGCCACCGCAGCCACCGCCACCTCCACCGCTCCTGTAAGAGGTGGTGGTTGTTCTCTTGATGCTGCAGCTCATGGTTGAAAGAATCAGGAATCCAGCCCCAAAAGCAAAGCCCGCTCACAGCCTGGTACAGGAGATCAGAGTGCAGCCTCCTGTCCTCGCCGGTGGCTCTTTATACGGTGTTGGGTGGGTGTCACCTGGAAGGCTGTCCAGCTTCCCATGACGTTTGCCAGCCTTGGTGCTCATGCCGAAAGTGATGTGCTAAGGGGAATTGTGTCTGAGGCAAGTCTAAGGCATTACTGTTCCCTTCAGGTATGTCTGTGTTGATTCACACACAGCATGCACTGTAATTTTATGTGGGTGGCTCTTTGTGGGATATTTTGTTGGATAATACAATATCTCACAGCTTCTATTAATCTGGCAATATATCGCTGGTAAGAGGAGTTAATGAAGGCTCCGCCTCGCTTGTCTGTCTCCTTCAGTCTTCTGTGTGGTGAAACTCAGTATTTCAGCTTTTGTCTTCCTCCTCTGATCACAGACAATGATTCATGCGACCCGCAGCCGCCAAGGGACTCTTCAGTCATTAATTTATTCAAAATTTACAGTAGCTATTTAGAAATCTACTTTGATTTTCTGAAAAAACCAATTAATTTTTAAAACTTCATTCCCATGTCTGTTAGAGAACTTTACACTGAATTTTTTACTCTGTATTACTGCTTATATTGAGGAAGGTCCTGCTGGGATTTCACTTTTTCTGAAATTGCAGGATGGTGATTTCAGTTATTTTTCTTGTTGAAGAAAACTGAGTGTCAGAGAGCTATTAATTTTATTTTAGCTGTTTTAAATGGACTCAGAGAAAACTGAGAAGTGTTTGATATATTTTCATAATAATATTAAAAATAGCCATTTCTCAAAATATGTCCTTGAATTTTATAATGCAGTAAAAAATAAGTTGGATGAGAAGATACAGTGCCAAAGATTAGATCAGAAAAAATATAATAATGATCTGAACTCATTGCAGTGAATTGTGTTTGCCAACCATGAGAGAATATATTGCAACACAAAACACAGAGTAAGAAACAATTGTGTGTTTTTTTCCACTGCCTGTGCAATATGGGACATTCAGTGAGTTGCTTTTTCCATCTTTACTAATCAAGTCTCTATGAAACTGAGAAGAGCCTTGAACAGAAATTAATTCTCTGGTTTCCAGCTGTGCATTAGGTGTTGGGGGTGTAACTGCTCCCAAAGAGTCCTTTGACTAGTACAAGGGAAGCACAAGGAGCTGGTGGAACCCGCTGTGAATGACCATCTCATTGCTTATCTACAGCGAGGGAGGATGAATTCAACCCAGAAGCATTTTAGGAAGAGATTCCATATCACGGAAGAAGAAATAAACTCATCAAAACTAGCAAAAGAGGAGTGAGAAGGGATTGAGTCACCTACACGTGAAGGTACCCATCCGAGGGGGGAGTGGGACGGTTTGAAGCTGAAGACACTGTGCCTGTGTGTGTCCGTGGATGGAAAAACACAGTGATATTCCTTATTTACCTCCTACTCTATATTAATTTCCTTAGGCACACCAGTGACCTTCCCTGAAAATCCTTCATTCCCTCAAACTGAGCCTTTTACTAGGAGCTGTCTCCAGTCTGCCTGTTGTAACCCATTCTGGGCTTCATCCCATGGTGTGTAGCACTGACTGCCTGTAGGGCAGCGAGGTATTTACAAGGCAGAAAAACAAATACTCTTTAAAGTTCAATTTGAAGTGTAGAATGACAGCTGTGGAGGTAGCTGTAACACAGAAGGAGCAAGAGGTGACAACACAGTACCCTCTGGAGGGCGCTGGTGATGACTTTGGAATAACCCACACAGCACTTAGTGTGGGCATCACACCTCGTTGTAGATGATGTGTGTAGTCCAAGTATCTAAAGCAAAGAAATAGAAATCAGCATTACTGGAATCCCACTCTTCCTGTTGTGTGCCCCTGGGAGGGTTTGTGCAGCACAAAGGTCTACAAACCCTCCTTCACGCAAGCGCGACACAGACACGGGCTTTGGTTTGGTGGGGGTCAAGTATTTCACTGAATTTCACTGAATTTCACTGAATTTTTTAGAGTTGGAAGGGACCATAGAGACCATCTAGTCCAACTCCCCTGCTGAAGCAGGATTGCCCAGAGCTTGTCAGAGCATGTTACTCAGGAGCATCCAGGCGGGTCTTGAAAATCTCCAAGGAAGGGGACTCCACACCCTCCCTGGGCAGCCTGTTCCAGGGCTCTGCCACCCTCACTGGGAAGAAGTTTCTCCTCATATTTGAGTGGAACCTCTTCTGTTCCAACTTGTGCCCGTTGCCCCTCGTCCTCTCACTGGGAACCACTGAAAAGAGTCTGGCTCCCTCCTCCTTCAACCCTCCCTTGAGATACTTGTCAGCATTGATAAGGTCTCCCCTCAGCCTTCTCTTCTCCAGACTAAAGAGTCCCAGCTCTCTCAGTCTCTCCTCATAAGGGAGATGCTCCAATCCTTGAATCATCTTTGTTGCCCTTTGCTGGACTCTTTCTAGTAGTTCCCTGTCCCTCTTGAACTGGGGAGCCCAGAACTGGACGCAGTATTCCAGTTGTGGCCTCACCAGTGCAGAGTAGAGGGGGAGAATGACTTCCCTTGACCTGCTGGCTACACTCTGTTTCCCTGAATGGTTCCCAAGCGTTGAGCAGGTTTGCACAGCGACGTGACCTCTATTTCTGGAAATCCTTTTTGCATTCATTCTCTCGATCCACACCCTTGTGCAGCGACCTGCTTTGCCTTCAGTCCATGGTGCTGGCTCCTCTTCCACACAACCCATGGTTGCTTGGGCTCTTCCTTCGCCACTAGAGGCCACCTCCTGAGCACCAGCAACGGAGCCTGAAAGTTCATGGATGAGAGGGGTCTGCAAGTTCCTGCAGGGCTGAGCTCTGCCCTTCACCCCTCGGACACAGCCTCCTGCAAACAGCTCGGAGCAGAACCTGCTTCGGGGGGAGCATGGGGACCAGGCACTGCTCCTTTCTGTCCCTCTCCAGGTTCCCCACCGCTGGCTGTGCTTCCCAGCTGCACAGCCCCGTCCCTGGCTCTGCTCTGGGTTCTCTGGGTGGCAGCTGTTCAATGGGCTAGGAATTTCCAATGAGTCCCAGGAATTCAGATGCCAACTTCTCATTAAAATTAATAAAGCTGTGGTTTACGATCTGCCTGCTTTGGCAGCCCTCTCTCCTCCAAAATACCGTGCGGAAATTCCTGAGATTCCTCAAACGTGCACAAGAAGCTGTTTTGAAAGGCCTGGGACAATACATTTATTTTCCTTTGATCTCTGAATTTGTTAGTCTCCAGAAGGCAAAGTTGGTGGTTTTTTCAGCTCTGGAAATGGCTTTTATCCGTGGGGTGTGATGGAACAAGCTGCTGTTGGTCTTCATGAAAAAAGTTGTTCCAATTGGTGGAGAAAGCTATACCATCATTTCTTTGAAATAATGATTATTAAAAAGCCTATTAAAAAGCTGGACAGAAGCAAATGCAACTCCCAAAAGGTAGCTAATAACAAGAGACTGAGGTCCTGCACTCTGCTCTGGGCTCATACTCAGCTGCTGGGGAGTTGTAGAGCTCAGCTTGTTGCTAAAAACCAAAGGCACAGCCCAGGATGCTCTAAGAAGATTATGATCTGCCCTGAATGCTCAGAAATTGTGCTTTAACTCTAAATTTCATTATCAGCTAGTGTAATGTCTCCTCAGCTTTCCTGCCTGGAGGCGTGTGTTGGCGTGGCTTTGGATTTTCTTTCTAAATGTTTGCAACCTACAGAATGGAAGGAAAAACCACACGCAGGGTTCTGGTTGCATGAGACAGAGATGAAGTTTATTAGCGACATTTTCCTGACACAGACCAACCCGAGTAACAAACAGGTTGACTCCGTAAAGCAATAGTTGAGGTGCCAGTGCCTGAAGCCCCGAAGGTGCCAGGCAGAGGAGGTGCGGAGCGTGCGGGGAGGCGGGCGGCCCATCGGAGCGGCTCAGACGGGCCCTTGGGGACAGATCAGCAGCATCAGCGACATCGAGGAACTGCTCAGAGCATCTGTCTGTCCTCGGCAGCGGGGGGATGCAGAGCGTTTGGGCCACTTTCTGTTTGAGAGGTCATGCACTGTAGGATCCTCCATGTATATTCTTAGTCAAAAGATTTTCTTCCGTACCCTGGTTAGAAATAAAGAAAGCATTAACTTCTTCAGTTCTGGCACTGAATCTCTGAGACAGACAGAAAAGCACCTTGGATATTTGATAGGGGACCATACACATTGCAAAAAGCATAAAGGAAAACTTCGAGGTGGGGCAAAAGCAGTGTGTTTGTGAGGTTCTGCAAAGAATGGGAGAGATGAAAAATACCAGCTGGGGTTTTAACTACATGATTAGCTGGCGTCAGGAATAGAAACTGAATGTTTCTATTGTGTTTCTTAAGCTGAGCTGATCTTTTGCACACGAATAGGAAAGTATTTTTAATAAAAGTAAATCTGACACCTTCCAGAAAATCTCGTTTCTCCTCAGTGCTGTTTACCTCTGGAAGAGTACGTTGCTACAGGGTATAATTAGTAGGGGTGGGACTGAGAGAACAGCGTGACCACACAACGTTTCTCACCTTGGCTTTCACCACCAGTCCTGCAAGACTGAGACTGGGAAGACGAAGAGTAGGAGTGGGAACCGCTCATGCCTCCTGAGACCCTTCCTCCTCCTCCAACGACGCTGCTGCAGCCACCGCTTCCCCCTCCTATTCCTCCACTTCCTCCTCCTATTCCTCCGCTTCCTCCTCCCATTCCTCCGCTTCCTCCTCCCATTCCTCCTCCGCAGCTTCCTCCTCCCATTCCTCCAGAGGACATGCCACCTCCATAGCTACCACTCATGCTGCCACTTCCTCCTCTTCCTCCTCCAGAAGAGTAGCTGCCACCTCCTGTTCTACCACCTCCCATGCCTCCTCCCATGCCTCCTCCCATGCCTCCTCCCATTCCTCCGGATGGGACTCTGCAAAGAGAGAGAAAGAAGGAGAAAAAAAGAAGTTAATCAAATGTTTTTTTGACCTCAGAAGGAAATCCATCTGCAGATACTGCACGGAAGCCTGCACTTCTCTGGTCTGTACTTCTCCTTGTTAGAACCTGGCACGGATCAGCCAGACAACTAATGCATTGCCAAAAATCAGCCTCTCCTTCTTTTGACCTCAGAAGGAAATCCATCTGCAGATACTGCACGGAAGCCTGCACTTCTCTGGTCTGTACTTCTCCTTGTTAGAACCTGGCACGGATCAGCCAGACAACTAATGCATTGCCAAAAATCAGCCTCTCCTTCAACTTCAGATTGAATGCAAGAGTTTTTGCTTTTCCCACATTCTGCTCAGATATTTCTTGCCAGATTTAGGATTGCTGCCTTGTCAGTGTACGGTGGCACCCAACCAGAGAGGTGGAGAGCGAGGCTTTACCTGTTCTTTGAGGTGTCGCTCCCAGGCAGGAGCAGGCTCAGTGCATGAGGGACACCAAAATAGCTTGAACTTTCAGAGAATTGTGCACTGTGACTTTTATGAAGGTTTGGAAAACTATGGTGACTTTTCTGCTTATGGTCTTTGCCCAGGTGACTTCTGTCTGTCCAGTTCTGGCCATTTCTGGAGCCAGGGTAAAGGAGGGGCTCTGCCCGGAGTTCCCTCTCCAGCCCCAAATCAGTAGTTCAGAATTTCTGCCTTAATTTTTCCTCACGTGATTTAGATTCTGAGCAGGTTTGCCAAGAAATGTGCGGTACCTCGCCCTTGGGAGAGGGTTGGTCTCGATGGCTGAGTTAGCCTCATGGCAGTACAAAATCTGTTTTGCAAATCTGTTAATTCCCCATCTTTGTGACTAATCTGGCAGCTCCGGGTTTCACACAACGCCGGGCTCTGTTCCCAGTTTACATACACAATGTCTTGCTGTCCCTCTTCCAGCAGAGCCCGGTACTGAGCGATCTCCTGCTCCAGGCGGGTCTTGATGCCCAGGAGCATCTTGTACTCCTGGTTCTGACTCTCCATCTCACAGCGGATACTGGCCAGCTCCTCCTCCAAGGGGCCGATCATGCTCTGGATCTGCTGCAGCTGCATGTTATAGCGACGTTCGGTGTCTTCCAAGTTGGATTGCAAAGAGTCTATCTGCAAATGGCAAACAAAATACGGTGTTTATAGGAATGTGGCAAGTGTCACTCATTTTCTGTGGACAAATTGGAGATCTTCACAAACCAGAAAAAAAGCGTATCTTTGAAGATAAGTAATCCAGTCTCTAGTTCTCTAGAGATGGAGCAATTTTTAGCTGTTTCTTTCATTCTAGTGACACATACAGCTGGTGTCACAGGTGAAGCAGAAGCAAATTCCTTTCCTTACCATGCTGATCTGTGACTGCAGCTCGATTTCCAGGCTTTGATATTCACGTCTCAGCTCAGAGATCTGTTGGTTGCTGGATTGTATCTCCTGGCCACTCGAGTGGACTTGTTGATTCACTTCTTCCATCTGAAAAATTCACATATAGCATTGAGGCATTTTTGATAGTAAGAAAACATTGTGGGGTTATCATAAAAGCATTGAGAAAGCAATTAATAAGAATAAAGAAGGATGCAGTGTAGACTGACTGTGTTTATTCCCCCCATGCCACCAGTTGACTCACTCTGGGCAACTCACTTTGCTGCTGGAACACAGATTCTACATCCTTTCCACATAACCTTAATACCCCAGAACTGACCTGTTCCAATAAACTGCTTAAAATCATCTAAGGTTAATATCCCTTAAGTAATATATGGTAAGTTGCCTTTCCTCTGCTGGATGTAAATAGGCCCAGTTCTTTGTGAAAGATTTAGTAACCAAAACTCCCCTGTGCTTTACCTTGGTTTCATACCAGCTTTCCACCTCTCTCCGGTTGTTCTCAATAAGCCGTTCGTATTCACTACGCATTTCGTTCAGTTTTTCCATCAGATTAATGCCAGGAGTAGCGTTGACCTCCACACTGACATCTCCACTAGACTGTGTTTGCAGTCCTTTCATTTCCTGAAAAAAAAGCAACAAAACCCAACAGGTTCTTAAAGGGGGAAGATGAGGAGAAATGTCCTAGTTTCAACTAAAGGGAAAGAAAGGGACATGAGTCCTCCCCCAGCCCTGCTGCTCCTCTGCCCTCGGGACAGGGAACAGTTCTGCTCCTAAACCAGACTTCCCAGTGAACCACAGCCAGGCACCACACAGGCAGCGACCCCGGTGGTGTCTCCTTGGGGCCATAAGAAGCTCTACACAGCGTGCTCTTGTGAAAATCCTTTAAAGCATTTTTCTTCTCAATGGGAAATACCATTGCAGACAGTATAAATATTTTAAAATCCTTTAAAGCATTTTTCTTCTCAATGGAACCATTGCAGACAGTATAAATATTTTCTTTCGGGTTCTCCCTATATTCTTTCCAGGGAGCTCATACACCTGAAAATCAGAGCCCGATTGTGTGACACTGGATGAGCAAAGCCAGCAGCCAAAATGTGGTTACTGCTAGTGGAAGAAATCCACAGGAAAGTCTCTGAGTCTTGAGGTTTCATTAGTTATGCTTTTAAAGTGTGGAGAAACTTACCTCTTCGTGGTTCTTCTTCAGATAGATCAGTTCCTCTTTCAGGGACTCAAACTGTGTCTCCAGGTCAGATCTGGCTAGAGTCAGTTGGTCCAAAAGTGGACGTAATCCATTAATATCACTTGCCACACTCTGGTGGAGAGTATATTCAGTTTCATATCTAAATGAGAGACAAAAAAGATAATCAAAGTGCTGTCAGATCTCATTGTTTATGATCTTGATTATGGACAGTTCCCATGAGTACATTTTTGGTCTTTAATCCCATTGCTCATTTCTTAAAAGAAAGGATCTAATTCTTTTTCCATCCCCAATAGGTTTGCTTGATTTGAGTAGAAGTTCTCTCTATGAGATTTGTATTATGAAGATTACACTTATAAATCTACTTGCAAGGATGGAGAAACTTAGAATGGAGGTCTTTAAATGGCACCCTTCAATAACTGGTCTGGAGAAAACCAACAATGAAAGACTAACACAAAATCATTCTCTAAATGCTTTCCCCAACAATTAGCTGTTCTGTCACTGGAGCCAAGAGGCTGTAGCATCCACAAAGATTCATTGGAATATGAACTCATGGAGGGTAAAGAGTAAAGATGAAATGAGATGGGGAGGGAAAGACTCACTTCAGTCTGAAGTCATCCACCGTCATTCTGGTGTTGTCAATGTCAAGGAGGATCTTGTTAAGGTCCACATTTGCACCAACAATCTGAAAGGGAGAGGGAGATGTTCCTTGGTCAGTTGTCTTTCCATTCCGACACACAGAGGGAAGAAATACTGCACAGAAACACATTTCAGAATGTCTTTCTGGTGATGCCAAGCCTGACATGACCTGACATCGCGCTGCAGGAGCTATAGAGAGAAGAGTTTGTTGCTTCCGGTTAAAAGAAAGTGCCTTTGCTATCAATTTTGGTTTACAAATATCCATTAAAAATACAATACCTTGTTGGAGAGAATAACTGAATAAACTCCTCATATTCCAAAAACAGTGGGAAAACATAATTACCATTGCACTTGGCAACAACCATATTCATGTAGGAGCTATGGGACTATTAAATGGCTGAGGCTAGAATTAGACTCAATGCACGTTGGCTCATCCTTCACAAAAAGCTTCACAGTAGCACCACAGAAGCAGGCAATGGTTGTATCTGCTCTTCCAGAGAGAGAGGAACTAACAAGCAGGAGCACAGTGTTGAAAGGAGCACTGGACAGGCCCCGTAAGGGGTGCACTAGAGATGATGGGTTGTACCAGAATACACCCATCACCCACAGCAGAGAAAACCCAGTACTCAGCCTCCTGGCTAAAACAAAGGAGGGAATATATCACCCAAAACAGGGCTCTCGTGTTGCAGGAGGCCAGTGCTGGGTTGTACCAGAATACACCCATCACCCACAGCAGAGAAAACCCAGTACTCAGCCTCCTGGCTAAAACAAAGGAGGGAATATATCACCCCAAACAGGGTTCTCGTGTTGTTCTAATGAGAATCCATTCAAAGTTAGTCAAATCACATCATACCTGGTTCTGCAGTTCTTCAATTGTTCTGTAGTATTGGCTGTAGTCCCTGACAGAAGTGGGACCTTGGTTTTTATACCACTCCCTGATCAGTTGTTCAAGTTGACTATTTTCTTCCTCCAAGCGTCGCACTTTATCCATGTAGGAAGCCAGGCGATCGTTAAGGTTCTGCATGGTCAGCTTCTCGTTTGTGGAGAGCAAGCCGGAATCTTCACCAAACCCCATTCCACCAAAACTACCTCCACCGTAGCCACCACCACCACCAAAGCTGCCACCACCAAAGCTGCCACCACCAAAGCCACCACTGCCCCCGAAGCCACTAAATCCACCTCCACTATATCCACCACCGCCAAAACCACCTCCACCAAGACAAGATCCATAACCACCTCCCATTCCTCCAAAGCCACCTCCACCAGATCCGAATCCTCCTCCCATGCTGCCACAGCTCATTCCTCCTCCGTAGCTACCACCACTCATTCTTCCACCATAGCTGCCGCGGCTGATCCTTCCGCAACTGCCGCTGCTAAAGCCCCCTCCGTAGCTGCTCCTGGAACCTCCTCCACCATAGCTTCTCCCAGAAAAGCCTCCGCTTCCTCCAGAAGAGGTGTATTTTCTAGTGGACACTGAGGAGTATCCACCAGACTTACGTATTCCGCAGCTGCTACCCCCTCCACCACCTCCACCACTGTATCCTCCACCACCACCACCACCACCACCACTGCTAATTCTAATAGTACTGCTCGAAGATTTAGTGCCACAGCTCATAGTGACAGCAGGTGAGAGTCTAACCACAATCCCAAATTTAGGTGCACAGCCTGATAAGATTCAAGACTGCAAATTTTCATCCCCAGCTCTCTCTATTTATACTTTTGACAGTGGGTGTCACCACCAGGGTGTTTCCTTCTCCCAGGGCATTTACCAACCTTGTTGTTTGTGCCAAGAATAATTTGCTGAACAATATTTTTGTGCTGATATCTCAGCCAATCTGACCCACTGCTGGGTTTGTGCTGTTTGTTTAAGACCAAATATCTCACTTCTTTTGGGTGGCATTCTTTTCATTTAGCCTTTTCTGGACGAGGTACCCCTTTGACCCCATGCGACGTGGACCTGCTTTAGGATGGCAAAGGCACTTTCTCCAGGGCCCTGTTGAAGCTAATGCTGAGATAATGTGTTCCTGAGGGAACTGTGGAGAGAGAAGCTTCTTTGCAGTTCTTCCCTAAAAGAAAGAAGATGAGGCAAATCCCTCCTGTTAGACCATTTATTTTTTCGATTATTAATCTACTTTCTTTGCTAAGATTTTTGGAGCTGCTGTTGTCAAAGGCTGTTGTTCTCTTTCACTCTTTGTTAGACCATTTATTTTTTCGATTATTAATCTACTTTCTTTGCTAAGATTTTTGGAGCTGCTGTTGTCAAAGGCTGTTGTCTTTCGCTCTTTCATATTTTGTGCACTTAAGATCTTCTACACTGTTTATATTCTTTTTCTCACTGCACATGATAGTGCAAGAGTTCTATTGATAGGACTGTACAGTGTGTTTCCACTGTCTGACTTGGGTGTCCCTGCCGTCACCCAAAGAACACATTTATTCATCTGGGAAGTCTATTTCAAGCAATGCAGTGGGAGTCTTATTTAAAAATCAAAATCCTTCCTTTGTGAAGAAAGTGGTAATACAGCACACCAGATAGCTAAGTCCTAGAAATCAAAAAGAAACAAAATATTGGATTTTTTTCACCAAAGAGCTGTTGATTTAAAATAGTAGAAAGACTAAAGATACTTTAATTGTATTTAAAAGCGAATTGGAGCACAATTAGAAGCTGCATTGATGCAGACAATGACCTATAAACGGCTGTGTGGGAAGACCTTTTATGTTATAATATTAAATTGCTCATTCTCTCTATTGTTAGCGTGTCATATGTTACAGGTGGTAATTATATACGCTGCTCCTAACGCAGAGATCCTTGAGACTCTAAAATAGTATCCTGAGAGAAAAGCTGAAAGCCTTTTTGCACAAATCAGTTGAAATCAGACCGATGAGACCACAGAAGAAATTACACCCCATTTTGGTCTTGCACTGATGCCCAGAAGTTTGCCTAAGATGGACTTGGAAGTGGTTTCCATCCTCAAGTGCTGGATTTGATGCCAGAGCAGAGTGTCTGGAGGCAGAACTGCAGGGTTCTGAAAAATCTGTAAGAAAAGTGTGAGTTTGGGCAGACGGCGCTGACTGACTTGGGCTCCAGATACCGTCATCTACAAAAATACCTCCTCATGATGTTCCCTCTTCCCCTGTTCACAGGCACAAGCTCCTTTCCTCAGCACCCGCTTATCTCTGCTTTTACACTGCAGCTTCTGTGAGAAATTCAGACTTTATTCTTCAAACATCAGGAAGGAATTTTTCACCCAAAGAGTGGTCGGGCATTGGAACAGGCTGCCCAGGGAGGGGGTGGAGTCCCCATCCCTGGCTGTGTTGAAGGGCCGTTTAGATGCAGTGCTGAGGGACATGGTGTAGGGGAGGACTTTGTAGAGTAGGGGAGATGGTTGGACTCGATGATCCCAAGGGTCTCTTCCAACCTCAATGATTCGATGATTCTATGATTCTATGACTGCATTCGTGCAAACAGCCCGTCCTCACCACTTAGTGCCAACAGCAGTGAAACCTTTTGGGGTCTGGCTGTGGCTGGCCCCGAGCTGTTGGAGTTTGCTGGGGAGAAAGGGCTCGTTTCTGCAGTGACGGTTCTGCTCCATGTCACTGAAACCTCTCCAGTGCCTTTCCTGTGCTCTGCTTACTGACCCTCTGGTGCCTGTGAGGTGTTCCTGAGATGCAGTCATCTCCCCTGAAAGCTGAGGTGTGGGGAACAAAGAGGGGCACCCAAGGGGCTGTCACTGCTGTCCCTGCTGTCCCTGCTGTCCCTGCTGTCCCTGCTGTCCCTGCTGTCACTGCTGTCCT